GTATGACCATCCCGCTGCACTGGTTGAAGCCAAACTGGTACAAGTTCGTGCCAAAGTCATACAAGATGGTTAGTACCGGTCCAAGCTCTAAGGTTCCATTTGGTTTGTGGGATGGGAAGGAAAAATATGAAATATTCTAGAATATTTGTGGGATGTCATGAAATGGGATGGGATTATAGATTCTTGGGATGTGGAGTCCCACCATTTTGGTGGGAAACAAGTGGGAACGTTGGGGGAACCTTGTTTAACAAAAAAAAACACTTTGTAGTATTTCAAAGAGTTAATACTAGATCCATGACCCATAAATAAATTATTAATTATTTAGTAACATATTAATAAAATAATTTAATTAAAATAATTTATAAAAATATTAAGCAATGAATAATTTAATAATTAATTATTTTTAGAATAAAATATTAAAATTATTAATTAAATGATAAGTATTAAAAAAAAATAAAACATTTATAATAAAATATAAATAATAAAAATTAAAATATTAATTAGTATTAATAATTATTTAAATAATTAATATCAAATTAATAATTAACAATAAAATACAAAATCATAAAATATTATTAATTAATTAAGAATTAATAATAAAACATTTAATAATGGATTAATTGACTAATTAATTAATACCTAATTTGTAATTACTAATTGAATTAAAATAAATAATTTATTAATGAAAAGTAATTTAATAATTTATGAATAATTAATATTAGAATTTTAAATTATTTATGAATCATGGATATTAATAAAATATATTTTAAAATATTAATTCTTAGTTAATAAATTATTTAATTAAAATATTAGTAATAGTAAAATATAAAATAATAAAAAATTACTATTTAATTAATTAATAATTGTTACTAGGGTTGATTTTCCGACTATTTTCCCTTTTGCAACCAAACAATGGAACATGAAAAATTTTCACCCATTTTCCCCTTTTACATCCCATCTCATCCCATTCTTTCCCATCCCACCAAAATCTCACACAAACCAAACACAACCTAAGAGTTAACAACAATGAGAAAGGGAGCTTATCGTGATGGCCTCATGGATGGTCGTGCTTTCTAGGCCGCCACTCGTGTAACTTGTGGTCTCCAACTTGACTCAAGGGAGCAGCACCGCTTAGTTGCTCTACAACCTCATCTTCGGTTTTCACCCTCAACTTATTCAAAGGCCACGAGGTCGACTCCTCGACTCGTTGTTGGCCTATAGGTGGAGCCGCACCTGAAGCAGCATCCATCTCAGTGTTTACACGACACCAATGAACAATTAGTACTTGGAAATAGAACAAGAAAGCAAAAGGAAGAGTGAGGTCTAAACAAACGAGCTTCTGTAGTTCAAGGACTAACCAATTGGGGGCAACATCAACCCAACTCGGATTAGCATGGCCAAGGAGGTGTACCGCTTGATATCCACCTTGGCTATCCTCCTTAAAGCTTCCCTTTTCCTCCTTAGTTTGCTCCATCTCCTTCAAAGGCTTCACTTTGGTCCTTGGGGTGGTCAACCTAGGTTACAGAGGCCACCCGTCCTTGTGCTTCACAAAGAAAAACCCTCCTTCCAGTGATGAATTGAGGATCGAGCCCCGATGAGAACCTTCGTGTTCGACTGAATTGAGAAATAACAATAGTCCTACTGATGCTTATTCAAGTGGAAAAGGTAGTGAAGGATGGGGAGAGTGATTGAAATGTCGTGGCTAGGTTAGAGAGAATGAAGCTTGACCAAATACCTAAAAGAGTTTTGACATCAACTATACGAGTAGAACCCAATGCTACTACAACACAAACACCAAACCTTGGTCCAAAGGGAACTTTAGGCCTGTTGCCGACTCTCTTCCTACATGCAGAGCTTGCCCAACTGAGGTGAGTTCGCTCTCTCTCCGTGCCCTGGGCTCCTCATCTCATATTCTAGGGGGATTCAATATACCTCTCTAATCCTCTGTATGTCCCTCTCCTTGAGTTTGTAAGGGACCAAGTCGAAGTGCTCCCTAACTCTTAATGGGATCTCAAGCTCTTCATCCAATATTTCAACCTTAGCCTCCTTGATTTTCCCATGGATCTCAGCTGAAATGAAGCCCTCGTTGGACTTAGTTTGGGCCTCAGAATCTTAATAACATCCTCCTTGACCTTGGCCTTATTGGCGTCAGTCTCAAAGACCACCACCTTGGTCGCCTCTTGTTGAGGTGACACTGACCTATGCTTGCTATTTGAGCTAGAGAAACTAGACCCTGAAGATGAAGAAGAGGAAAACAAAGAGGATGAGGACATCTTATCGAAGATGAAGTAAATAAGCACCGAACGAGAACGAAGACTAATTGAACTGCAGAAGGCACTTTTCGCTCAAATGACAAAGTAAAATGGCTTGCCCCTCCATTGCTTTATATAGAGGCAGCCAATGGCTAGATCGAAGCCAATCAATGGTCCAGATTGAGCGCTGCACTCCACACACATGTAAGCTTAGAAAGGAGAAACAAAACAGCCCATGGTTCGTATGTTCAAAATTCAAAATTTCCCATGTATGGACTGTCATCATTACCCTGATCTAGGTTCGAACATGCGATGGATGAACCAACCAAGGCCTTAAGTTACTGAGTTTCGTAGTTGAGCAAGATAGGAGCTCATTCACCATGCTGTGGCCTAACACCTCCCTCCTCGACTACAGAACTAGGGGGTTGGTGATGGGTTCATACCTCAGCTTGGTTGGCCTGCCACCTCAGACCCGACGTGATAGGTAATCCAAATGTTGACCTGACCACATTGTCAGTTTGAGTCACCACCACGAGCGGAGCAACAATTGTAGAGCGAACTAACAATCCCGAACAATGAGGGCAACATGACGAAGCAACATGTTCTCTCCCAACTCCCCTCAACAGCAAACGCGGAACTGCCCCTTAAACCTCGGACAAGGGACACCTCGGTACTTCCCACGTATCTCGGCAAGCGGGGAGCACCGTTATGCTCCCCCTTGATATTAAGGGCACTCCCCTAGCTCGAGGTATGTTTTTCTTCCACTCTCCAAGCACCCTTTTCAGCTTTGCTCAGCTAAGACTAGCTGGTCTCTTCACTGCTCTCACCGACTTGAGTGTCGGAGTGCCTCTCACTTGCAGGTCGTTGAATTCTCTTCATCTCATCCTGCCAGGTTCATGTGCCACAACTCATCCAACGCAGCACATCCAGCTCGACTAGTCCAATTCAGTAGGACCCTTATCTATTGCTTGTCCACCTCAGCACGGATATCATCAGATGTGATGAGGGCGGATTTGGCCCTCCAATGACATTATGACACCTGCCACCTCAGAACAACTAGGTGACACCCGAGACCACTTTGGCAACAACTTTCCTTTGCTAACTTGATGGTGTCCCACCAGGCGCGGCCTAGCACAGGCACGACTTGGTGGCCTGGCCCTGGCACGAACTGGCAGTCTGGCCCTAGCATGAGCTGGCAGCCTAGCCTAGGCGTGACCTGGTGGCCTGCCACAGGCGCCAACCTGACAACCTTGAGGAGCTCACCACCGTACCCCGCATTTTACGGGATTGTGACTTGTAACGGCTATATTAGCTCACCCACTCCCCAGTTCTGACGGAAGGGACAATATTACCGTTTGACGACGTTTCACCCACCTAACACGAAAGCATGTCCCATCACAGCGGGAATCCAGGAACTGCTCCACCTAACCCACGAGGACTCCAGTATATAAAGACCTCACTCCCTTAGAGGCAAAAAGAGGCTAAGAGGCAAAACGGATGGTAATCTCTGTTCTCTAGCTCTCTCATTCTCTTATATCATCTTCAAACTCTCTACTACTATACTGTGCTAACTTAGCCATCGGAGTGTCCTCGCCGGGTGAGCCACCCCCGGGTCCTCTGACATTTGGTTCCTTGTAGGCCTCTAAAAGAGCAACGAAGCTCATCAAGGTAGCTCACCTCTAAGTAGCTCATCAAGGTAGCTCACCTCCAAACAGCTCATCAAGGTAGCTCACCTCCAAGTAGCTCATCAAGGTAGCTCACCTCCAAGCAACTCATCAAGGTAGCTCATCACCAGGCAGCTCATCAAGGTAGCTCACCTCCAAGCAGCTCATCAAGGTAGCTCGACACCAGGCAGTTCGCCACCAGGTAGCTCACCACCAGGCAGCTTGCCACCAAGCAGTTCGCCATCAAGCAGCTCACCACCAGGCAGCTCGGCACCAAGCAGTTCGCCACTAGGTAGCTCGCCACCAGGCAGCTCGCCACCAGGGAACTCTACTTCAGCCTCTGAGTCACCGACCAGATGGGAGCAGACGAGATAACGAGGTACTTAGCCAAAAAATTGACACATCACGAAAAAACGATACGTGACCAGAACCGGTCACATCAAGATGGTTTAGTAATTATTTAAAGGGGGGTGTGGTGATACCAGTTGAAGTTGATCATGGGTCAATAGTACAGAGACAAAGCTAATCATAATTAGACTAAGTCCTAGAAAAGTGCCACTAACTATTGGTCCCAACTATTGGGGTCTATGAAGGGGTTGGCCAGAGATGTAATTTACCATTTTTGCATTGTTTTAAAAAACCGATAAGAGGCAGAACCGTTTTCCCTCTGGTTACGGGTCTGCCCATGACACATCATATATAGGACATAGTGTCGAAAGGGCTTTGATCAATCAACCCCCCATGAACTTTGATAAGCTAAGCTATCAAAGTTCATTTTTCCCCATCAAAAGCTAAGCTAAAAAGTTCGATTTTTTAAGATGACTTGAAGCAAACTAAACCAGCATATCTCACAACGAATGCACATGAGGCAGACAACCTAAATATAGGATGGAGACAGGTTCTTCCACTGTGACTTCAAGTGCCTAGTTATGATAGAAAAATAAACAGTATGGACCTCCATAGATAAGTGCAATCACCACTCTAAAACCAACAGAACCCAAGACTAGCCCAATGCACATCCCAGGAAACAAAAGAAAGGGAAACATGAAAAGAACTGAGGAGATTTATTGCACAAACCAGCAGAGGAAAAAGTAGGTCTTGCATTCAGACATGAAGGTCATACCTCTTCTTCGTGTGCTATATGGAGCAGATAACCATTGTCAATTGTTTTGGTGACACTGTGATGAACCAAAATGTTATGCTTTACAACAGCTAATTAAATGAAAAAAAAAAATCACCTGGGTAGTGAAAAATGAACCCAAAATCAAGAATAGAGATCTATATAACCATTATAACTGTCACATAGGAATGAGACATACCAAATTATACATACTATATACAGAGCACAACAGTCAATGACTGATACAGAAAATTCCTTGTTCTTCTCAAACCATTGCTAGCTTGGCATGCTTAGTTTGCATATGTTCTTTTTTGAGGGCCATGAATTTAGTAGCCAAGTCATCATAGTCTGGGAGCTTTGGGTGAACATGACTAGAGGAATTGGATGAAGAGCTACTCCTTGAACGATTGGCTTGCTGAAGATGACAAGAAGAAGACCGTAAAATGTTGCCAGTGGTCAGGGGTTTAGGCCGTTCAGGTGGCATTGTCATATTCCTCATATATTGTGGCCGTGCCACTGTTTTTGTCCATGAACATGTTGAACTGGAACCCTGAGAAGTGGTGAGGCTGCCATGACAATCTGATAATTCATCATCTTCTTCTCTCCATTCTTTCTTCTTGCTTTGATTATCAAGACACTGGGTTTCTGAGACTGTAATGTCATTCTGAAAAGCTCTATTTTGGAAGCAGAAGTGATGGCAACTATCTATGCTTTCTTCACATGGAAATCCCTCTAGTCTTATGATCCCTCTTCCTTGTTTCCAACATGGACTTGCCCAGTCATCTTTATTATCACAGGCAAGAAAATAACATGTGTGTTCCAAGCTGCAATCAATAACCATGTCATCATTGACAGAACAACTGTTGTATGACTTCCTCTGGTCATAATTATATTTGTGAGGAAAATATTTCCCTCCTTTCTCAAAGAAAAGTTCATTTGGTATTTTTCTTGCATTAATTGGCTGATGGGGTGAAAATTTCTTCTCCTCGATTTTGAATGAGGAACTCTGATTTTTTTCAGTTGAGATCTTTTTCTGATGTTTTCTCCTGTGAGCAGTTCTGTGTCTAGGGTCTCCATTTGGTGGAAGGCCACATTCCCCACCATAGTAAAGTTCACATTCAGTGTCCTTCATTCTCAAGGTGACTGGTACTGATAGATCATATATTTGACTCTGGTAAAAAGATCTCCTCTTCAACTTTTTTCTGGTTGACTTCCTCCTCTTGCTAGAGTTTCTGGAGATTGTTTGTCCATTCCATGATTCAGAAATCTGTGTGTGTTCTCCAACAAAACCATCACCATGTAAAGCTGACAGGCTGGATGTAACAGCTCCACAATTGTCACATCTAGGAGCTTTGATAGATTTAAACCTGAGTAGTCTCTGGTCCTTGTATTTTCTGCCTTGGGTGGTGGACTTGAACTCTTCTACGCCACCAATATAAACAATACTTCCATCATGGGACCTACACAAATTTTCTGACGTAGTTTCTATTGTAACTCTATCCACCTTATGCTGCTGAGAGGGCATAGAGAGCTGGGCTGAACTGTAGCTTCCAACATTGATTTCAGGTTTGTCTAGTGGATTCAAATGCTCATTACTATCTAGTTTGGATACATTCTTAAGAAAATGCGTGCAGCAATGGGGATCAACCTTATCCAAGGAAGGTTCTGTAACAACAGCAGTGCCATTGGATCTTGCATTCACTTGAATCTTTTCATTGATTGAAGCTTGCATCTGCACTTCTTTGGAAATGTGTATGTTCTTGTAAAAAATTTGACCTTCACACTGATTGCCACTGTTTCCCATAGAACAATCATATCCCTGCAGTTTGATGGTGTAAACGACTTGAACAAGTAAGAAATAATCAATAATTTTTAGCAAATTAAAAGAAAGAAATGGCATTTGTAGTAATAAACTAACAATGTACCTGTTGTTCTTGCAACTCAAACCTGTCCAAAATTCCCACAGGCCTCAGTTGAAGGCTGTAATCTATAGCTATTTCATCAATCAACTTGTGCTTCACATCATCTGGAATTGACTTCATACATAGCTTCTCTCTTACCTATTGTTTAAGTGAAATTGGTTCTTAGCCAGAATCTAGAGAAATGACACAAGAAATATAACCCACAAAAGGGAATAGTATAGATTAAAAAGAAGAAAATCATTTAGTTGAAAACCTGATGGTTTACAAGATTTCCGGGTAACAACTCATCTGCAGCTGTTGAATATTTGTGCCCATAACGCTCTGCAAATAGTTTTCGAATCATTTGCAGCTCAGGAAGATCCCCACATCTTGCAGCTGCAAATATTAGACTTGACACTGCTTCATTAATGTCATTAGGGCAGTCCCTGCATCAACAAAATGAAAAACAGATTATTTTAGAGAAGACTTGCATAAGAACAATTGATATGACTATTCTTGATATCGAATAGAAATAAGAATGTTAGTATCTGGTAAAAGGAGAATATCAGAATTTTTTCAGAACCTTAAAATGAGGGTGTTGGATATGGGCAAATTTTTTTTGAAAAACTATGTCGATGTGTTACTAAATTTACAAAGTATATGCTATGTAGCACATTTTGATTCATTAATCAAGAGAAGGTACCATAATCCAAACAATATGCCAAATTAGTGGCAGATAAAGAAAGTGATATGATGTGTATAATAGTTTAAGATAAAGATCAAAACTTGGTTTCTAGTGGGCTATATGAAGAGGCAAACCTGTGTCTGCGTATATATGGAAGGTGGATGATGATAAATTCACAGAAATGGTCCAAGAGGTCATAGATGGCCAGTATTCTTTGGTCCTTGTAGAGTTGCTCCGCCTAATATAAATAGAAAGCCAAATTTCAATAGTGTATATAAATATTTTCAAATTCTTCTATGATTTGCAGGTAAATATGTGTAGAAGAAAATAGGATAGGTTGAAAAGATGCATAAAACTGGCATAACAGTACCACAGGATAAAAATACAAGAATCCTTGAATAATGCTTATTAGAATTTAATAATCAATGTAATTACTGCATTTAAATATTTGATAAAGGCAATCCAATTATCATTTGGAATTCTTTTACAAAAAACTTTTGTTCTGACTCCTCATAATAGGTTTCTCCTCTAACAATATGGTTTTCCAGGAGTTCAAGTATATGAAACTGCCATGTTGGTTGAGATTAGTGGTAAATTTTAGAAGAAGCCAAATTTCATCCATTAAGAGCAGTGGAATCAATAATTCGAAAGGGATGCAGAGCTACTGGAGAGGTTCAACAGTGTTCCATATTCATACATCCCTGGTTATACCTTGAAATAGGATGGGAGATTGTTGAATAAGTCTTAAACTAAGTGGTGAGTGGCAAGCAGAAGCAGGTTATCCCCAAAGGATATGTCATCAGATGCAGGTAATATAATTTGATTAGCACTCATAATTATTAGGTCAAAATACAGGTTTGAGGAAAATTAAGCTCTGTTTTAACATAAATTAGATGTGAAAAATAGTCCAAGCCCCAAGGAAAGCAAACGAGTGGTAATCATCAATATCTGTTAAGCATAAGTGAAGGTTGCACAGGAAGATTTTTAATTCTTTCATCAAATTACTAAATCCAACTAAATTAATATTAGACAAAAGAGAAATTAAGCTAACAGGAAGAAGAACTTGAAAGCACATAAAAATTCAAGAAATTGCTAAGTCAACAACTGGACCATACCCGGATGAAGGCACTTTGGTCTCGGCCATTCTTGAGAAGCTGAGCAATATCCTCACGTAATTGCCTTATGATGGAACTTCTCTTGTTCTTCAGGAGCTTCAGACGATACTGAACACATCTGATCAGTTTCTTGCTGCACAGAACCGACAAAAAAAAAAAAAAAGAAAAGAAAACCCCATAGATTATTGAAAGCCCGATTTTAGTTCATCCAAACTTGATCAGAATGTAGTAGTGACAATAACAAAATGAATATAAGCATGCTGGGTTACCATTTAGAAGCTTTTCTCCATCCGAACAGAATGTCAAACATGTTGAAAATTCGTATACATGCTCCTGGTAACGAAATACAAGATCAGTGCTGACTGCTGAGCAAGAAATAAGATGGAATGCATGGGTAGTGCAAATTAAATAAGATGAGGTATCTTCATTTACAGTTACAGCATATAGTTTAGAAGAAGAAGATGAAGAAGGGAGGGACAGAGAAACCCACCTAATATCTGCTAGCTGGTTAGCACATAATTATCTTGATATGTCATGATTCATTTACCAAACCTTTTGTTTGAGATTGAAAGAAGAAGAAGAAGAAGAAGAAGAAGAAGAAGAAGAAGAGAACAACTAAAGCACCAATAATCACAGTTGTTTCGCCGGAGGAGTGGTGTTGTTGGGTTTGAGATAAAAGAGACAGAAACTAGAAAGCGCGGGGGCCGAGTGGGAGTTTCACAAGAAACTGCTCCACTACTATAATAGACAACTGTCTTTGTGGTTAAAACTATTCGTTAACAACGACGAGGGATCCCGAGTCCCTACTAACAGTGACGGGTTCCTATGTGGCAAGAACAGTGGCCATCTGATCAATCACATTCTTTTGAATGTGGGACATGCCTATAGCGGGATGGGAGACCCCACACATGGACGGTGTTGATCAATGTAGGAGTAAATATAATGGTTTACGTATGCATTTTGTTTTGACCTTGTTTTAATATTTTTTTTTTGCAGCCAACTCGGCAGAAACACGTAATTGAGCCGAATCAACTGGGTGATGTTAGAGTTAACCTACCATGAGCGTTGGTAGGGGGCAGCGTTAGTTTAACTAACACGAACAGACTTCCTGACCTTTGTAAAATTCTGGAAGCTAGGCTCTCTCTGTTGGTGTCTGGATTGGACTGGGACAGTCCATTTTGTGTTTTTTATGGAGAGGATAAACAACTAGCAGCCCCTAAGGCCTGAGGTTTCTTATAACTAAGCTTTTACCATGTTAATGGAGTTATAATGTTCACAATAGAACGCTTTTGATCATACTAGGTGTAGGTTTTCTATATTATGCCATTCATTGATATCAAACTCAATCACCTACTCTTCTTTTTCTTGTGTGATGAGTGAAATTGAAATGAAATAAAATGTGGATCAGGCCGGTTTGGTGGTTTATTACATTTCAGCGAGGTTGGTAATCCAACACACACATAGATATACGTCTCATTCCCCCTTCTCGTGTAATGCAAGGTATTCACAAACGAATTCACATCTGCACCTAAGCGTGCCCCATAGTACATGCCAATCATGTATCGAGAACATCTCCCAATAATAGTTACACGCTTAGATGTGCATGTGAGGCGCCAATGTGAACTCCTACACAATTCAGTATTTTTTTTTTTTTTTTCAAACAGTTAAACGTTTCTTTTGGAAGAATGGAGTGAAAAAAGGTTGGGAAGAAGAAAGGATTAGTTGAATTTGATAGTTGTTTTATTAACTATGGGACTCTGATGTGGAGCAAAATGATTGGTCCCACAACCAGTAAAACAGTTATTAAATCCAGTTAATGCTTTGGAGTGGGCTTCTTTTGGCAGTTGGCATGAGGAAAAGTTTGCATATAGACTGCACTTTGATCTAGAGGTGTAAATTGGGTTGTGCCGCCCACGGCCTACACGCTCTAACATAATACAATTGTATGGGCCATGCCGGGCCCGGGGTTTTAGGTCAATGGGCCGGCACCACACACACACACACACACATATATATAATTTTATTATTACATATATAAACAATTGTATACATCAAAATTCATATAAAATAAAATTTTAAGGTCTTTTTTAATTTTTTTCTATTTTTTAATTTATGTTAAAATTTTTATCATTTTTTTTTCAAAATAAAAAAAAATGACTTGGCCTGGTCCACGGCCTGGCCTAGCCCAAGGCTCAGCCCACGGCCATGTTAGGCTGGCCCCCAAAATATTCTGAGGGAAGGGAAGAACGGCCCACACTTTGCACATGCCGTATCGTGTTAGCCCAGTACGACCCAATTTATACCTCTACTTTGATCCAACAAATCCTTTGGATTTTCTGCACATCCCGACCTGCACATTTTCCTGCATATCCTATCATAATGTGCTAGGCCAACCTCACAGAATTAAACTCTTACATGTGCAAACTGGTTAACAGATGCAAGGAGAGCATCATTGCATGTTTCCTTTCTCTATTTCCCTCTGCAATAGGAGAAACAATGAGATCAATATCTTTGTGTAAAAATAGCTTGAAACAAGGGATCTCCTCTGATGAAAACAAAATCTGATCTAACCTGAACTTTCCAAGCAGCCTTCCCATCATGTACTTTAACTTTCTGCTGGCTTTTGGGTCTGGTCGGGGCTTCTGTATTTTGCTAAGGCTATCTCTCAAAGTGCTTGTAGTGCTTCAGACCGATGGAGAAGATAAGCTCTCAAACTTGTCTAGATCATCATTGCTGTGTCTTGAGTAGGCTGTAGGCATTTCCTTCTTTCCATTCCATTTTTTAATGCTTCTAGCAGCCCTCTTTGCGAATGCATTCTCACAACAAAAAAATAGAACATGGGCAAAAACTTTTTTACATAGATTGGCTTCTTAAAAAAAATGGCCGTAAATCCCTTGAAGAAGAAGAGTTTTTTTTTTTTAATTTTTAATTTTAATGTATTTTAATTCTACAAACAAAAACTCTGTACACACCTTAAAGCATTGTGACTTTTAGAGAGCTTTCACACTGTGACTTTTGGAGCTCAGATTAACTAATCTTGATGGCTGTGTTGGGGGCTATATAACCAATAACGATGCCCCCACGTCAGCAATTCATACATATGAAGTGAGGGAGTGTTGGAGAATATGGCTGATTTTGTTTTTTTGAAAACAGAAACAACTTACATCTAAATATCTATATATACTAATAATAATATGGGTATAAACGACCCCTCTTGCACTAAGAAAACAGAATCTAATGTTTAATAGCCTCTATTATGTAATAGCCTTTGAAAATAGGATCTAATGTTTAATAGCCTTGGTTATTTACAATTCTACCATGCCTTTTTACTCTTTTATCTATTGTTTAATAGTCATGTAGATCCTTTTTATTCTTATATCCAATGTTTGTAGATATTTACCCACTAAAGCATTTGTTATTTACAATTCTATCATGCCTTTTTACTCTTTTATCCAATGTTTAATATTCAATGTTTTTTATTTGCTTTATCCAACATCTAATATCCATCTCTTTCTCTCTCTCTTTCTTTCTCTCTCATTTACTTAATTATTCTGATTTCAATTCCTTTATTATTTGTAATTTATTTTATTAGAAACATTTATTTTTTATGTTTTTATTTTACTTTTTAGTGTTTAAACCTCTTGAAACCTCTCTCCTAAATCTCACAAACTTTCATTATTTTCTATATTTTTAATATTATAATAAGGAACTTCCGAAAAATATGTTTGATTTCATTTTATTTTTTGAGATAGATTTTTATATGTTTTTTTTTGAAAATTATTGAAACTGTTAATGTTATATTTTGATTTTTAAAGAAAATTAACGTTTTTTCTATTGATATTTATTGTTTATTGTTTAGACTTTAGTGCCCTTGCTTAGCGTAGGCACAAAAGCCCTATTTTGGTTAGGTAACACGTGGATCAGAATGGAGGAGAAAGAGGGAGAGTGAGGGAAAGAAAGGTGTTGGACACAACTTATTGAAAATCTACATCCAAATCCGGTCCAAAATCCAATCCAACTTAAATACTTAGATTTGAATTCGAATCATAACAAACTTAAATCAGATTTGATCCAAAATTCAATCGAGCATTTGCTTTGCGTAGGCACAAATGCGCATAAAAACCCTATTTTGGTTGGGTAACACTTGGATCAAAATGGAGGAGAGAGAAGGGTGTGGAACCCAATGTCATAATTAGGGGAGAGACCAAGAGAGTGTGTGTGGGATTAAGGCTGTAATAGGATTAGACTTGGACCGGGTGTAGCAAAATCCGCATCCGATTTGATTATTGAGAACCTACATCGGAATTCGATCTGAAATTCAATTGAATTTAAAGATTCGGATTTGAATTTGAATCCTAATAGATTCAAATCGGATTTGGATTTAATTCGATTCCACTTTAAATTTTCTAAAATAACAGGAAAATTAAAAATTTATTTATTTTTCAATTTTTATATAATAAATTAATATAAATATAACATAATATGTTTATTATATCTATAAATTCATATATAGTATAATATATAGATATATTTTATATAAAAATATAACATACATTTTTATATAAATTCATATGTAATTCATATACTAAATTTATTTTTCTATTTTTAAAGAAAATTAAAGTTTTTTTTATTGATGTTTATTGTCTATTGTTTTGACTTTAATGCCTTTGATTAGCTTAGGCATAAAATCCTTGTTTTGGTTGGATAACACGTGGATCAAAATAGGGGAGAGAGAGAGGTGGGACCCAATGTCATAATTAGGGGAGAGACTGAGAGTGTGTGTGTGAGATTAGGGCTATAATAGGATGAGACTCGGATTGGATGCAACAAAATCCACAATCGGTCCAATTATTGAGAATCTACATCCGAATACAATTGAAAATCCAATCAGACTTAAAAGACTCAGATTTGAATTTAAATCCTAACAGACTCGGATTGGAATTGGATTTAATCTAACTTTCCTTTAGATTTTCTAAAATACTAGGAAAATAAAAAATTATTTATTTTTTAATTTTTATATAATAAATTCATATAAATATAACATACTAAATTTATTATATCTATAAATTCGTATATAATATAAGATATAGAATATATTTTTATAATTTTAAATATAATTATATAAAACTTATATATTAAAATTAATAAATATTATAATATAATTTGATTCAGATTTTAAGCGTATCAAATGGGATCAAATTTGAATCTGATCTGATTACATAATTACATCATCTGAATCCAAGATAATCGGATCGGATGTTGGGTCGGGCCTTAGATTTCGATTATCATTGACAAACCTATGTGGGATATGGTTAAACTTAGTCTCAAGAGAGAGGGGTTCTGTGGGACATGGCGAGGCCCAACGTTAAGAGAGAGATAGAGGGGGCTGTGTGAGACCTAATTTCATAACTAGGGTGAAAGAGAAAGAGTGGGGTTGTGTGGGATCCAATGGGCCTAATGTTAGGAGAGAGAGGGGTTGTATGGAACTTAATGAGGCCTTGTGTTAGGAGAGAGAGAGAGAGTGTGTGTGTTTGTGTTGGACCTTGTGTCATAATGGGGTGGAAGAGAGAAGGGAAGTAGGGAGAG